AAATGTCTTGTGTCTCTTACATCTGTTTAAGTTATTGGCAGAGCAGTGGACAAAGTTAAGTTTAGGAAAAAAAATATTTAGGACCAGGGAATTGAGAGGGGTGTGTCTGACCTGTTTAAAGTGGATCCTTTAATTCACCTCCCTGGAACTCACAAGATTTTTTTTAGGTTTGTGAAAATATAAGTTTTAAACAGCAGCATATCTATATCAGAATGACTGTGACAGATATTTTTGCAAAAAGAAAAGTATCTTTAAGACTATGGAAGGCAGCATGAGAGAGAGATTTGATAACTTTTATTTGTTTTCACACCTTTATAACTTGCAGGTACACACTTAATAACCTGTATTTGTATTTTACTAAATATTGATTGGTGAGGTTGTCCTTTCAAACTGAAAAAACCTCTCAGCTGTCAAACTGTATCAGAGATCTTTGAGAAGGATAAAATTTTACTTGAGTTATTGATTAGAAAATGACAGAAAACTCACTTGGTTGGCACCTAGAGCCCCTCCTCAGGGTCCTCCATGGTCGCTGAGGGTTGTATTTTTCTTTTGCTCTTTAGAGCAGGGCCTGCCAGGCTCCAGAAGATCCTGTGGGCTAAGAAATCTGTAGGAAGACAAGTCTACCTTGACCTGAGCAGCTAGGCTGTCAATTTCAGTGATTCTGTTCACTGTCGGAGATGTTCAGTTTAGGTGAAAGGCAATTTTGCACAGTGGTCAGTACTTGGCAGTTGAAACAAATTGCGGATGGACGTTGTTTGTGCCCATTTGTTTTCTGTCTTCTTTGGAGGAAATAGAGTGCTGCTGCTAGGAGGCAACGCTTCTCTTTTTGTTATGAAAAGTTTTTTTAATAATTAAATATTTAAATACCATATTCCCTAGATATCTGAACAATTGATGGCTGTTTATCAGGTAAGACCACAGTATAAAATATGCCTGGAGAGCTGGGTCCAAGCTTGACTGTATTGGCTCTCAACTTCATAAGCAAGATTTACACTCGCAAAAAGACAGAAAGAAGAAAAAAACTGCTTGCAATTGGTTAATGGCAGAACTGACAATAGTAGAAAACAGCTTAATATATTTTATACCATACTTTTGTAAGAGACTTAAAGGTACGCACCAATTTAAAACATGAGACTTATTGTTTTTGCAGTCTGAAATGAGACACAATGAACAGACAATTATAACGTTTAACAGTAAACATAGGTGCATTTAAGTTATATGTATGACATATACATACAGTGAACAGGAATTGGGCAAAGTGAATGTCCTTGATGACATTCACTTGAATGACCCTACCAAAGGCATGCCACTGCACAAACACACATATAACAGAGTCAGCAAGAAGAATTTAGAGACAAAACCATAGGTAAACCGGGGGACCAGGCAGGGTATACCTCAGTAAAGATGACAGGACTTGGTCACCTGACCTGGTCATCAGTTAAGATGGCAGTAAGGTCACCTGACCTTGGTCAAAATGGCAGTGGTCAAGTGTTGTATGAAAAAGTCACATTTTTTTTGAGCTGTGGGAGTTTTTAAATATAATAACAACAGAGACTTAGAGGCATAATCTGCCCTGCCACTGTGCTGCTGCACCACAAGCCGCAGAGAGGAGCAAAGACTGGAATTGAAAACAACTGCCTTGTGGATCCACTTAATTTTGTCAGTTTCCACAGGACCGGTGGTAGTGGTGGCAGTGATAGTTTGAGGAAAAGCAGAGCTGGTGGGACACCAGCAGGTGGCTGATACTTTGAGAGTTTATATTCCATGGATGAAAATGTGAAAACCTGTAAAAACAGCAAACAAACTGCAAAGCCTGCAGAAAAACATCTTCTCTCTACAGGCGGGGTGTTAATGAAGTCAGACTGGCTCTGGGTCCCGGTGACTCGGAAGCCAGAGGCTACAGGCTGCTCTGAGTGGTCTCTCACGGCGAGGACCATTTCTGAGTGGTCCAGAAGAAAAGAAAAGAAAAGAAAAGAAAAGAAAAGAAAAGAAAAGAAAAGAAAAGAAAAGAAAAGAAAAGAAAGGAAAAGAAAAGAAAGGAAAAGAGAAATAAAAATCCGAGGGATCTCGGGCACCAAAGCAAAGGCACTACTCAGCATGTGCAGTGCTAGCGCGGGAGGACTACCCTGGGTCATCCAATCACATTTTTAGCTATGGAAGGCAACCAGAAATGAATGTCAGCAAAGGTTCAACCATAGCTGTGAAGGCTGTGATTGGGGGTAATCTCCCCATTTCTAGGAACACCATAGGATTTCCAGGAGCTCAACAGTCAATTCTTCGGGTTCAGAAAAATGGTTTAGCTGACTGAAAGAGAAAAACTCACCACCAAAGCTGCTGGTGTGCTTAGAGGTTGGCATTCAGGCAGATAGAATGTTGGGCTATTGTAAAGAAACCTGGTTCCTGAGCCCAGGGTTCCACATGTCCTCAGCTGGCCCTCTGTTGGTGGGAGCGAACATGGAGAGAGCCTGGCCAAGTCATGGAGTGATGGAGTAGGGTGATATGTCTATGTGTTACTTTCATTGGTTAATAAAGAAATTGCCTCGGCCTTTGATAGGACAGTAGCTTAGATAGGCAGAGTAACAGAACAGAATGCTGGGAGAAAGAAGGCAGTGAGGCAGACGCTATAGCTCTCCTCTCCAAGATGGACGCAGGTTAAGATCCTTCCTGGTAAGCCACCACCTCGTGGTGCTACACAGATTATTAGAAATGGGTTAATCAAGATGTGAGAGTTAGCCAATAAGAGGCTACAGATAACGAGCCAAGCAGTGTTTAAATGAATACAGTTTCTGTGTAATTATTTCGGGTAAAGCTAGCTGGGAGCCGGGCGGCAGGAATGCGGCCCACAGCTCCTTCTACACACGAGCACCATTGTAATGGTAAAAATAAAATAGCACCATTCCTTCAGTTCCAGCAATTGGCAGAGGGCCACAAGGGTCAGCAGGTCCCAGTCAGGGAGCTGTATGACAGGTGAGAGACCTTGGTGGATCAGTCGGTCCAACAAGGAGCCACAGCAGGTGATGGAGATGGATAGGCATGCCATGCAGAGTGAGGTTGGATATTTATTTAGTGGGATTTAGTGGAGGAAAAAGGAAAAGGAGGGAAGGAGAAAGAGGAAAAGGAGGGAGAAGGGGAACAAGGAGAGGGAGGCTGAGAGATAAAAAGAGAAACAGAGATGGTTGAGGAGAGGAAAAGATACCTCTTCAGGAGAGAGATAGGAAAGAGAGAGGAGCTTAGGCTGGAAGTGGAAAGAAGATCTTGCCTCAGAGAACAGGGGAAGGAGTGGGCAGGGCTTGTCTCTTAAAGGGACAGGACAGACCACTACAATAAGGGTCAATAAAATCTATCAGGAGTGTCACATTTTTGGGGTGACTTCTGCCACCTAGCCACAGCAAGATCATTCCAGGGTATGGGTATGAGGATTAGAAATGTTATACAGGAAGAACAGAGATAAGAAAGAAACACAGAGACAGGGGAGAGTATCAGGAGGGCAACTCAGCATCTCTAACATACTGAGTTCACCATACACTTTTATACCCCAATACAAATGGGGGAAGAAGGCAAAAGACTGCTTTAACATGATACAAAGAACAACTAGAACAGTTACTTGCTCCAATACTTAAGACATCAAGTCAATAATTCCAGAGTAAAGTATTTGATGTTTGGGCAGTGAATCTACCCTAGAACAAGTATCTTGCAAGCAGCTACGCCCTAAGTCAAACTTCCTATTTCAAAAGAAGAAGCAGAAATAAGCTTGAATTCTCCGACCTTTGGTGAGGGTGGAGCAGATCTAACTCTATGGGCCATTTTATGTCCAAAACACCAAGTAACCACACCTTAGGGCAAAGTATTGTCAAAATCTAACCTATAGACAAGGAGAAATAGGCTCACATGTTTGGGTCCTGAGAAAAATAAAAAATAAACTCAACTAAATTCTCCCTTGTCACTGATCACAAGCATGTTCCTGGAGAGTGGCACACTCGGGACATTAGAGGCCCAAGCTCTTTCTCCCAGACCTCATCTTAGTCACAGTGCGTAACTATAAAGGCATGTCCTTTAGTGTTCTGTGAGCTGTTCAAGTAAATTAATAAAACTGAATAAGAGATCATAGAAGCCCTGATTATAAACAGAAGTGTAGATTAAAACTACAAGGGCTCATAACTGGCGCCTAACCTTGGGAGGCAGTCTGGCAGGCTTGGGATGAGATCTGAACACCATCTCCTGTAGGATCAGGAGTGAAGAAGATCAAGGGCACCAGATGCTGAAGAAATGACCCACTGCTTGATGTGCACAAGAAAACCTGGTACATTTGATGTCAGAAAACTCATATTGTTCTGATGTGAGAACAGATGGGGAAGAAATGAAAGTAACTGCTTTTGTTAAATACACAAAAAACAACAGTAGCCCCCAGGTAAGTATCCTGAAACATTACCCAAGGGTTTGCTGTATATGTAAATCTCATGCCCTGTGTGATTAAGACCCAACTCAGGAGTCTTGAGAATGGGGCATGGCAGCCTGTTTACTTTGGTTTGACTGGTTATTGCTGTTTTAAGGCAGGTCTCATTATATAGCCTTAGCTAGCTTTGAATTCATTGTGTAGACCAGGTTGGCTTTGAACTTGCTTCCTCTGCTTCTCTGCCTCTCATGTGCTAGAATTGCAGTGGTGACATATTAGTAAAGATGGGGGTGTACTTCAAAGAATGAAACAACTGGTCAATAAACTGCTACATTCTGTGCTTTGATGAGACAGTGGCAAAATATATGATTTACTTTTTCAAATTTTGTAAATGTTTCAAAAACAATGACAAAGGTATAGAAAACAAAGAATGTGATCTTATTCTGTAGCTCTTATTCCTATCTCTAAAGCAACAAATTTTCCCAAACAACTCCAGGAAAAAAAAACAGGAATTACTGTGGTTGCTGATTCTTGTATTTCTCTGCATTTCTTGCCATCTTTTCTCTCTTTTATTTTTTCTTGTTTTGCACCTTTACTCTAAGCATACCTTTAGCTGCTGTAAGGTCACCACCACAAACTGCCTGTAGCCATCAAAGTCAGCACACGGGTTGCCCATGAGGAAGAGCTCCTTCAGGTGGATGTTGTGCTTCAGGGTTTTAACACTGCTCAGCTCACCAATAAAATTTACAGTTAAGTCAAGTTTTGTCAGCCACTCACATCCTGTCAAGATAAGAAGAAAGAGAGAAAAGAAAAAAGAGAAAAACGGCTGCAGCAATAAATTTATACAATAGCAAATAATAGATGGAAGAGATGTTACATTTTTAATCTTCTGATTAGTTGCATTTCTTGCCAATGAATGATTTTTCAGAAATCTCTACTAAATTCATAGTCTTATCTCACTTTTCTATCTATAGTTTTGATTTTCAACCCCCTTGATTCTTCCATCCAGATAAGGACCATATCCATTCTCATATTTGTAAGACCCAGGCTGATAAAGGTTTGGATTTGGTCATTTATCTGGAACAGAGAAATCAAAATGTCCACTGCTCCTAGAGTAGGCATTATATAGGCACGGTGCCTGTAAGCAGGCTTCTCAAAGATTTTACTTGGAGCTTAAGACATGTCCTCAAGGAAATACATGATGGAAAGTATCCACCAAAGAAAAGACATCTCCTAAAAGTAGTATCTCAGAATTCAAATTTGCAGAGTCACATAGAGGAATCACTGGCTCTAAAGCCACCAAGAACTGAAATATCAGGAGAAGGAGAAATAAAAGGTTTAAATTTCCTGTTTAAAAAAATACGGAAAAAAAGCCAGGTGGTAGTGAAAACCTTTAATTCCAACATTAAGAAGTAAAAGCAGGCCAATCTCTGAGTTCTAAACCACAAAAAATGTGAGGGGCGAGAAGAGAAGAAAAGGGGAAATAGGAAAAGGACAAACTATTGTTGACAGAGATTTCTGTCCCACATGGTCCTGCAGTTGTTCAGTCCCAAAGAAGCACACAGAGGCTTACATTCATTATAAACTGCTTAGCCTAATACTTCAGGCTTCTTATTAACTCATATCTTACATTAACTCACAATTCTTGTCTGTGTTAGTCATATGGCTTGGTACCTTTTATCAGTGAGGCATTTTCATCTTGCTTCCTTTATGTCTGGGTGACAACTACACCCTGAACCTTCTCTCTTCCCAGAATTCTCCTATTCTTGATGTCCCACCTATACTTCCTGCCTGGCTTCTGGCCAATTAGCATTTTATTAAACCAATACAAGTGACAAATCTTTACAGGTTACAAGACCATTGTCCCATAACACTCCCCCCCCTTTGAAACTCTGAATCGAATCTCCTTTGTTTAATGTTTTTCCGGATCATTATCCATAACAAATTGTAACCAACACTTTAAAAAAAGACCAACATCCATAATCTACTTTTTTTTCAGGGGGAGGAATGTGGGCATAGTTTTCAAGGATACTTCATGCTGATTAGGAGCACTGATTAGGGGCATTAGGGGACCTAAAGATAATTTAGGATTATGATCAAGTCCTGACTGGAATATTCTGTGAGGCTTGATCATCTCAACCAGCAGTCTTGAAGCTATTTGGATGAAAATATTTGAAACTATTTTTAAGAGAAAACTCCAACAGAAGTACTCTGAAATGGGAGATCATCTGGGCATCTGCTCCTATCAGAGATTTCCAGAAGTCTTGGTCCATCAAAACTAATTTATCTGGAAGGAATTCACAGGTTTTTATCCTCAATAGAAACAAAAGAAGAACCTCTTTTCCAAAGCAATATATACTTAGACCCAAATTTTGAAGACACTACCCCCCCCATTTTGAAGCTTTTGGGGTAGATGGCTCTTATAAAATACTAGATAAAGCTGATATTTGTAGATGGTAAAACTCCGAGATGGAGGAGATGTTGGGACTGACTATCCCCCTTTGGCAAATGTTGAACACAACTTGTCTTGTACACCAGACAACCTCTTCTTAACCTCACTTGTGATATGGCTGAAGTGTGCCCAAATATCATGGGTATTTTTGAATCTGCCAAGAGACAGGGGTTACTCCCTGCTTATCTGACCTACTGATCATTCAGCATAATGATACTTGCCTGCTTGCATTAATTTTCTTTTACAAACTTTACCACATACAAGATCACATGCAAGAAGAATTCCTGCCCCGAAGACATAAGAGAGAGTCCCTAATGGCACTGGATGTCACCACATTGATGGGGCTAGGGGTCGCTGGGACTGCCCTGGGCACCTCATCTTTGGTGATTTTACAACAAGAAATGGGAATAATTTACCTACAATTGACAGCAACCTTAGAAAAGACAAAAACTGCATTATGTTATTTACAAAAGTCTTTGGATTCCTTAGCAAGGGTAACCTTACCAAATAGGAGAGGTTTGGACTTGCCATTTATGGAACAAGGAGGAATTTGCAGGGCACTTAGGGAAGAATGTTGCTTCTATTCAGACCATTCCAGGATAGTTACAAGAACCCTAGATGAGTTAAGAAAAGATATTGATTCATTTAAGTCAAGGACCCCCTTTGAGACCTGGTTTAATTGGCACCCATGGCTTACCACACTCAGTTCTTCCCTAATGGGGCCAATGGTCATTTGTTTATTAATCTGTCTTTTTGGCCCATGCATTTTCCAAAGGCTGAAACAGGCACTGCAAAAACAGGTACAACTCATAGCCTTTTGAGTACATTATGATAGGCTCAATATATCTCACCCCATGGATGAACTATTAATTTGAGGGTATCCAGGCTGAAAGTCCAGGTGGGGTGGCCCTGACTCATACACTCTTCCCAGTGTGCTATTCTGACTTGGTGACCAGGGTTCAGGGTGGGTATAAAACAAAAAGGGGGAGATGCTGAGCCAAAATTAGCTGAGGGCCTGTACCTTGAGGTCTGTAGGACAGAAAAAAGCCTGGCTCAAGTTTGAAAGATAGTCTCAAAGCTAACAAGTGAGAATGAGACAGCAAAATCAAGGTAGACACCCCTCCCGCCAGAGGGAGGGCTTGGCTGTCTCTCATTGGCTGGAGGTACCCCTGCATCACAGGATATCACTTAGCCTATATAAGCAGATGCTCACAGTAATAAACAGAGTTCCTGCTTTGACTTGACTCCCTATCGCATCTGATTGTCCTGCGTCATGGGGCTGCAGAATGGGCAGATAGTGCACTCACCTTTCCCTGGGGAATAAGGCTAAGATTTCCTGGCAAATCATGACACATTGACTTCTTCCTTTCCAATTTGTATACCCTTGATCTCCTTTGTTATTGTTATAGCTCTATTGAGTAGATATGGAGAGAGTGAATAGCTTTGTTTTGTTCCTGATTTTAGTGGAATTGCTTTGAACTTCTCTCCATGTAACTTGATGTTGACTTGATGTTGTTATATATTACTTTTATTGTATTAGGTACCTCCCTTGTATCCCTGTTACTCTAAAAGACTTTTACAGGAAGGGTTGATGGACTTTTTTGGCATCTAACGGGATGATCATGCCATTTTTTTTCTTTTTCTTCAAGTTTGTTAATATAGTGGATTACACCAACAGATTTTCATAAATTGAAGAATTCTTGCATCTCTGGGATGAAGCCTACTTGGTTATGGTGGATATCTTTTTGATGTTTTCTTGGATTTGGTGTGCCAATATTGTATTGAGTATTTTTACATCAATGGTCATGAGTGAAATTAGACTGTAATTATTTTTCTGTGTTGAGTCTTTGTGTGGTTTGGGTATCAGAGTGATTGTGGCCTCATAGAAAGAATTTGGCAATTTCTGTTTCTATTTTGTGGAATAATTTTAAGAATATTGGTTTTAGCAGTTCTTCATAAATCTGGTAGAATTCTGCTTTAAAATCATCTGGCCCTAAGTATTTTTGCAGGGGGCGGCTTTTAATGACTGCTTCTATTTCCTTGGGGGCTATTGGTCTATTTAAGTTGTTTATCTGATCTTGATTTCACTTTGGAAAGTGGTATCTATCAAGAAATTAGTCCATTTCTTTTAGATTTTCTAATTTTTTGGCTTCTGGTTCAGCAGGAGGCTGCTGCCTGAGTTTGGGGCTGAAGCCCTAGCTGTGTATGTGCATGGCTTCTGATCTGGTCAGGCGTCTCTGCGGCTGAGATAGTGGCTTGACTTCTGATGGGCTGTGAGGCTTCTGCCTGATTTTCATGGAGTTGGCCTGGTCTCTGGGGTTCCGAATGCTAAACTGTTCTCTGGAGATCAGGATTCTGGCCTGGCTCTGATGCAGTGGAAAGATTCTGCTAGAGGTGTAGGCCAAAATATGGTGACAAGGAGAGGAGGAGCTGTGGGGGTTATGTTGGGAGGTATGGGCAGGGTTGGCAGACAGTCTTATCTGGGGTTCAGGATGCTGGCCTGAACTCTATGGGAAGAGGAGGCTTCTATCAGAGGTGTGGGCCTAGATGTGGTAACCCTATGCTTTTTGATTATACTGTTTTCTGTTGTTTTCCAGAAGATAATTAACTTGAAGTAAACTTGGGTATGTCAGCAAAATGAATTAAGTTCAGATTGGTTCATAGTTCTGCAATCTTGTCACATTTGATGAATGACCTCATTTCTCAAAGTTGTATAATGGAACTGAATTATTATATGATAGTTTCCCTTCCCACCCCTTCCATTCACCTTTCCTTGAGTTTAGCCCTTGATCCCATTTTGGCCTGGGTAGGAAGTCATTTACTGTAGCAAGGACAGCTTGCCAGTGGCTATACCACTCATGAGAATAACACCCCTTCTCATTTTTCTCATATATTTCCTTTCTACTAAACTACTATGAACACTCTAATTTTGGCCTACTAACTTTTGTATAAAATATGAAAATAATCTTCTAAACCCATTCATAACAAGGATATATAAAGCGGAAAATGAGATAAAGTGGATAAAGGACAGAGAGAACCCAACATCTTGGCATGCCACAAAGCAAGGATTTGTTCAGAGACTGTCAAGAGCATATGAGGACATGGTTTATCTGTTTGGAAGGACTGCGCTGGCCATGCTTGGAACAATGTGAACACCAAACTATAATATTAAAAAATAGAACACCAATCTACTGAATTAACACAATGACACAATCTACTGAATAAAGCAAGGGTCCATGTACACAGAAAAATATAAAGTGGAAGAGAAGGTGAAGTTTTTGCTTAGAGTATAATGTCATCCAACAAATAGAGAATAACAGAATTGCAG